AGAGAGAGAGAGAGAGAGAGAGAGAGAGAGAGAGAGAGAGAGAGAGAGAGAGAGACTAGCTCATTTTGACTCCAATGTTGCATGAATCTAGCCTGTTGGGTTGGATTACCGTTCAGGATATTGTAGAAACCCTGAAAACGAATGAGTTGATCAACCAGATAAGGTTTGCTGTATGAACCCAACCTAGAGTTCACACAGTATAGATATTTTTTTTCCAACAGAGTCCATGGATCAGATTAGCCGCAGAACCTCATAAATGAACAGAATGGGTGGATTTCAACTGCCTGCATACTGGCTGAGGGAATTCTGGGAATTGAAGGTCATCCATCTGAAAACCACTGAGTTGAGAAACAGTGCAATGGGAGAACTGAAGAATTAATTCAAGATGGGTTATGAGGTAGTGGAGCAGTGGTGGGATTCAAATTTTTTTACTACCGGTTCTGTGGGCATGGCTTGGTGGGCGTGACAAGGGAAGGTTACTGCAAAATCCCCATTCCCTCCCCACCCCACTAACCTACTTTCCAGCTCCATTCTCCTATGCAAGGCAACCAAAGAAGACCCAGCCAATCAGCTAGGACTCAATGAGAGGCAGAGAATAGATGGGGGCAGGTCCAGTCAGAGGTGATATTTTTGCCAGTTCTCCAAACTACTTAAAATTTCTGCTACCGGTTCTCCAGAACTGGTCAGAACCTGCTGAATATACCACCTCTGTAATGGAGTCCACCAGGGCTTACATAAAGATATTGAGGAGTGAAGTTTAGCCTGCCTTCTCTCTCTAGTAGTCTTAAAATCAATCTTTTCTCTTTTAAAAACTGTGCCAGATCAAATTTAGCCCTGGCTGGCCAAAACTGGTTTTGATTGTAACTCAACTGGTCTTGCTACCTTCCAGGCCCACACAATCTCAATGGCCCCCTGGATGTGACAGAATTATAACCACCAGCTATCTCAGACATCATAGCCGGGAATGAGGAATGCTGGGAGATACAGGTTAGTCCCATTAAGAGAATAAAACGAAAGCATTTTGCAGCCGCCCCTGTTGTTTGAAGCATTAATCAACATTTGTTTGAGTGAATTGTATTCTGGTTCTGCTAAAAATGTCCTGCTTCTTCCATCACCCCTTTCCTAAGAGGTCTGTAGGGAGTGTGCATAAGCGCACCAATGTGCCTACCGTCCCTGTCCTATTGTTTCTTTTATTTTTCTTATATGTACCCATTTCATGTATTCATAACTATGTATACACTTATACCTATTATCTTGTAAGCGATTGACAAATCAAAATAAATAAAATAAAAATAAATAAAGATGCATAAAAGACACAAAGATCTTATTTTTAGGACCTGCTAAACTTCCTTCCCCCTTTGAAATGCCTATTTCTGACTTTCGAGACTAGCAAGATAAGCATCAGTAAGGTTTTTAATGACCTTGGGCTAAATACAAACTGCCATAAACCCCTGAAACTAAGCGAGATGCTTTGTGAAGATACAGTCTACAAAACAAATGCTAATTTAAAACCAAAGGTTCTTAAAACCAATTTTTCCTCTCCATGGAAAGGTCAGAAAAATACATACGGTATTAAGAACAGATTCTAAGGTAATTCAATGCACACAGATATATATATATGTTATCTCTGCACATGTCTATCTGTGCGCATGAAGTAAGCAAAAGAATAAAATCATACAAAACCACAGGACAATATCTGACACTCATTAAAAAAAAAAAGAAAACCAAGCAAACCTGTATTACATGGTCTTCACTTGTAATCTCAGTGGCTTCTTGACTTTTCTCTAATGCTGTAAATATCGAATTACAAGCCCTGAAATGCAAAGGCATGAAAAAAGAAGCAGAAGCATTAAGATCTACTAAATCACATGGGCTTTTCAAGATCTAGAAAGAAAAGAGTGGCCTAGAACTGAACAATTCAAAACCAAAAGAGAATAAAACAACCGGAAGGTTCCACGAAATCTTGCAGGCTGAAGAAGGCTTGGACAGTCGCCCATGGCAGATGTTTTAATTCAGTTTCTGGAGCTCAGCAGGCAATCAAATTTGAAAGCTAAATAGCTGTTTTCATTTCTAGGATTCAGTCTTTTCAAGTGGAACCTTCCAGTCATTCCATTCAAATCTGTTTTTAGTCATTCCATTCAAATCTATTTTTAGTCATTCCATTCAAATCTGTTTTAACCCCCCACTAAACAGCTAATGCAACCAGTGGTGGGATTCATATTTTTTTTACTACCAGTTCTGTGGGCGTGGCAGGGGAAGGATACTGTAAAATCTCCAGTCAGAGGTGGGATTTGCCAGTTCTCCGAAGTACTCAAAATATCCGCTACTGGTTCTCCAGAACTGGTCAGAACTTGCTGAATCCCACCTCTGAATGCAACCCTGTATCCACTGGGAACAATCATTTTTCCAAGACTTTTTGCCTTCCAGATTTCCTTCTGTTCCTGGAGAATGTTTGAATTTATGGAATGTTTGGAAGTTTTGAGGAGGATGTTGAAACTTCCTTCCTTTATTTATTTCAGTAATTGGCATGCCACCTGTTGGTGAGAGCCTAGCTTGGAAGATATTGATATTTATTAAACAAATTTATATGGCCGCCCAACTCACACATGTTAATGTCATACCTGATTAAATAGCTCTGGCTTGTAAAATAATTATGTACTGTACATCACACATAAATCTGCATGTGTCAGATTGCTATATATTAATATACCTTGTTGCATATAAGATTTTCTCCATCCAACCCATAATCATGGACAGTCCATGGAGAAGAAATGGTCTGCTTTCTCTGTCCATCCCAGGTCAGTCCTTCAATACACCAAAGTAGACTTTCAAAGGGTAAAGGTTTTCCTGTCCGGTTGTGTCTGATTCAAGGGCTCAATGCTCATCTCTGTTTTTTGGCCAAAGGAGCCAACATTGTCTGAACACATTTTTTGTGGTCATGTGGCCAGTACGACAATGCCAGTAGTGGGATTCAAAGTTTTTTACCACTGGTTCTGTGGGTGTGGCTTAGTGGGTATGGCAGGGGAAGGTTGCTGCAAAATCCCCATTCCCTCCCCACCCCACCAACCTGCTTTCCCACTCCTTTCTCCTGTGCAGAGCAACAAAAGGAGACCCAGCTGATCAGCTGGGACTTGGGAGGCAGAGAATAGATGGGGATATAGAATATAGAATAGCCAGTCAGAGGTGGTATTTGCCGGTTCTCCGAACTACTCAAAATTTCCGCTACTGGTTCTCCAGAACTGGTCAGAACCTGCTGAATACCACCTCTGGACTATACCCCAAAAGCACACCGAACGCTGTTACCTGCCCACCAAAGTGGTACCTATTTATCTACTCACATTTGCATGCTTTCAAACTGCTAGATGGGCTCACCCTTTGCACAGACCACGGGTCTTGAACATGGGCTGTCAGCTTTCCAGCTGACAAACTTGGAGTTTTTGACCCCTGAGCCATCACACGTTTGCTGTAGACTTCAGCAGGGATCAAATCCCAACCAATTCCCATGTTGGTCAGGACAGTTTTTTCCTGTGCCAAGAATATGAAGATGAGATAAGTAGCATTACCTTAGTTTAAATTGTGCCTGTACTTCTCCAAATTCCAACTGTATGAGTTCATTGTAACAAGCCATGATGTTCGAGTTTTCAACGTATCTCTGGTTGTGTGGGGGGGAAACAGATGTCAACATCAAAAGACCCTCTATTCTATTCATATCTTAATAAAACCTTGACTTGAGAAAAAAGCTTTTCTTATTAAAGAACATTTTAGTTATGAGACGCTCTTGCTCATTGCTGTAATGGGATGTTCCAGAAGATGGACGTTCTCTTAATAAACAAAGTTAGAGATTTTTATTATTTCTTTTTGGACTACTTACGTAAACAAAGCCATTTAACACTCCTAGGATACATCAACACTAGTAATCCTTGACATAGAACTGGTCCATAATGATCATTCAAAGTTACAATGGCCCTTCCCAGAAGAACTGATGAAGCTTCTTGGATGAGAAATGAAATATTTTCAAAGAAAAAAACAGCAAAGTCCAGTTGCCTTTTGAAAAAGCATCTTTGGGGCTTCTTATGACCAGTTATGATGGCTTCCCTTCTACAAACACTCCATGGTCCAGGATTCGATTTTGAGTACTTGGCAATCATCCCATCTTTGTGGCTTTTGTAACTGCAGCATCATGCAGTTATAACTGAGATTTATGATGTGGGTATTTTTGCTGGTTGGCATTTACTTCCTGCTTCCATCAAAAACGCCCATTGGGGAAAATGCATTCACTTAACAATGGTCACAAAAAATGTTGAAAAATCAGGTGCAGTCAAGGGATGCCTTGATTTATGATTGCAATGACTTACAACCATAATTTTGGGCTCAATTACAGTCTTATCCCGTGGACTACCTATATGCAAATATAATACTGTGTTCATCCATCTCCAAATTTTCTGATATAACTCAACAAATACACCAAATTTTATTTATTGCACTTCTACACACCCCAAACCCACATTTGTTTAGACAATGTATGTAAATGAAAAACATAAAAAAACCATTTACAAAATATAATTGTACATCAAAGGCCAATTTAGGATGAGAAGTATTTCAGGATAAATGTTCGATCAAACTGTCAACTCTGGGCACTAAAGTATACATAAAATGTTATACTTTGAAAAAAAAATTCTTTGAAATCTTTCTTGAAAATTCTTTGAAATCTTTCTTGAAAATTCTTTGAAATCTTTCTTGAAAATTCTTTGAAATCTTTCTTGAATTGAGGACTAATTCAGAAGTCAAACAAAATAATTCAAGAAGTAGCAATCTAAAACTCAATGTATATTCCATCCTGGTCAATATTATGTATCCTGGGACTTTAACTCAATCTGCCCTAACTTTGCAATTAAAGAACTTGCAAGAAACATACACAATGTCCATAGATATATGCCCCCTTATCTAATAATTTCCCAAACCTATCCAGCTGGCCGATAAATTTCCTTCTTTTTGAAGGAGACAAATATTTTAATCAACAGCCTTACTGATAACTCTCTGCCCTGATCCGCTTATGATGGGATGAGAAAAAGCTATGAGTGAAGTCAACCAAACAATAGTTGACTCCGATCCACAAAATGACACAGCCAGCATCTCATAATGCCCTTATACTCTTTACACTGACACCATTTATGCCAAACTTTCTATGATATGTGCCTTTTCATGAGATCTGAGGATCTGCCTTCAAAGGTAATGAAAATCAAAATCACCTTTTCATCGGTTTGGATGCTGAAAATTAGACCATCTCAGACTCCTCCTAAATAATCTCTTGGACTACAGTTGGTGGTGCTAAGAGTTCATCCTTTCCTATTAGCAGATGCCTTGACTGGCCACAGAAATTCTGCTTTTTCAGCCAAAGGATCAGCCCAGTGTGAACTCACCCTAAAAGTCATATAATTCTGTGCTAATGCCATTGCAATTAGATGACAATGGGTTTGACAGTAGCTAATCTAGACAACTCATTCTAATTGACCAACTCCATGCTTGTATATTAATATATATACCTAAATATACATAATTTATGCACCCTCTTGTCAAGTGTCAGGAAAATCAGGAGATCCAGACAGTTCAAATGGATATAAAAATTTATGGCAAGCTTAAGCTCTCTACAAGAATCTGAACTACTAACAGCCAAGGGAAATTAGCGTGGAAATAAGAGTAGAAGGAATTGAAGGTGAGCTGGACTTAGATCTGTTGTGGGCGCGAAGGGACTCATGACTGATGATGCATTTGACCCCTCCCTCAGGCTCAGCCTACATCTGTCTCCCATTCCCTTCTCGCTTATGCTTTCAGCCTCTCATCTATGGTCATTAGCTTTCATTTGATCTATGATTTATGAAAATCTATCTGTATGTTCAATCACAGGTGACAATAACCTGATGACATGTCATCAACCAATTACGATGGTTATCCTCCCCCCCCACTCCCCTCCCCATTAGATTTCTCCTAGAATAGACAAATATAAAACTAAGCAATGTGCCCTAAATGGTTAGGGCTATTACTATTTTAATCTAAACATGCTCTTGGTAATCCTTGAACTAATGTTCAAAAAGTGGGAGAATATTTTTCCCCCAGGCTTTGGCAAAATCAATCTGAGATACACACACACACACACACACACACACACACACACACACAGTGTAAGTATATATGTGTGTGTGCGTGTGCGTATACAGTATATATGCACAGTATAGATAGATAGATAGATAGATAGATAGATAGATAGATAGATAGATAGATAGATAGATAGATAGATAGAATACACACACACACACATATATTTGTTTTCTTACAGTATATACAGTATATACAGTATATACAGTATATACAGTATATACAGTACATATATATATATACAATACAGGGGTTG